GGGAGCTTTGGCTGGCTATCTGTACTCTGTCAAGTTGTGCCAGGGAGCTTTGGCTGGCTATGGATTGTAGTGGCAGGGAGTAGTCACTCACAGATCTGACATACCCTATATAAAGTTGTCGGAGGGTTACTTTGACAGCTCCCCAGTCGAGTGATGAAAGGTGTTTCTGAAGGTTTAGTCTGGAGGTGGCTTTCTTGGTCAGCTCCCCTAAGTGCTCTTTGAGAGACAGCTTTCGGTCCAGTTGTACACCAAGGTACTTGAGATGGTCCTCATGTCTGATGTTGGTTCCATTGATCTTCAGGTTTACCTGACCTGCTGTAACTTTGTTTTTGAGGCTGAAGAGTCCAAAAACAGTCTTGTCTGTGTTGATCTCCATCTTCCATAGCAGGCAGTAGGACGAGATAGTAGTCAGATCCGCGTTGATGGCTCGGTTCAGTGCTCTCATGTCACTTCCTTTGTTCCAGATGAGTAAGTCGTCAGCGTAGAGTGCTTTCTGGCAGGAGATGACATCTGGCAAGTCGTTCATGAACAACAGGAAGAGGGTACAGCTGAGTGCTGACCCCTGTGGGAGGCCTTCCACAAGTGTCCTCTGTGAAATAATCTTGCTGTCACATGACGTCTGGATAGTTCTGCAAGACAGAAAGTTCTTGATCCAGCTGTACATCTTTCCTGCTATCCCAAGCTTTTGCATTTTGTAGAACAGTCCCTGTCTCCACACACGATCATACGCCTGCCCCAGGTCGATGAAGACGGCCACAACATTGTCTTTTTCTTGAAAGGCATCGCTGGTCTTCTGGGCAAATCTGATGAGGTGGTCCGTAGTTTTTTTGCCTTTCCTGAATCCTGCAAAATCTGATGAGGTGGTCCATAGTTCTTTTGCCTTTCCTGAATCCTGCCAAATCTGATGAGGAGTTCCATAGTTCTTTTGCCTTTCCTGAATCCTGCAAAATCTGATGAGGTGGTCCATAGTTCTTTTGCCTTTCCTGAATCCTGCCTGCCATGTGCTGATTGTGCCGGTGTTTTCCATCCACCAGTACAGTCTGTCGTTGACCATTCTCTCGACGAACTTACCCAAGCAAGATGTGAAAGAGATTGGTCTGTAGCTTGAAGGCTGTCTTGCTGGTTTGTCCTTCTTCAGTATTTCTGTGATGTTTGCCTTCTTCCATTCTGTTGGGAGCTGTCCCTCATTCCAGGTCCTGTTGAAGGAGAAGTCCAGGAGTATGGAGAGGGAAGAGTCTGTCAGGTTGAGGATCATCCCATTGGTGATGTGGTCTGGTCCTGGGGCCTTTCTCTTTTTACACTTTTTGAGGGCTGCCTTCAATTCTGTCAGAGTAAACTCCTTCTCAAACACCTCCAGGTTTGCCTTGGGGGTCCGTTCTGCCCTTTTGGTTAGCTTCTTTCTTGTGTGGCTCAGTTTGTTGTTGGTTCTCTTGTTGATGTTAGCAAAGTATTTATTCATAACCTCAGCTCTGCATGTCTCTCCTTTCTCAGTTGGTTTCATTGGGGCGGGGTTTTTCCTTCTTCTTGTACCTGAGAGATTGGTGAGCAGGTTCCAGGCTTTCCTCCCGTCCTTACGCAGGTCTAGTTCTCCACAGTGTTCTCTCCATGTTTGTCGTTTCGCACTTTTGGTCTTCAGCTTTACCTTGGCCGTCAGGTAATTGTAGTGCTTTCTGTTTCCGGATGTTGGGTTCTTCTCCGCACGCCGTCTGGCTTTCTTTCTGGCCTGGGTCAGTTGTTCCCGTTCTTGGTACCAATAAGGGCGAAACTTCTTAGAGTTCCCTCCTGAAATCACTTCTTTAGCAGATGTCTTTAGTGCTGTGGTGATGTCCTTGTAGCACTCGTCAATTGGCTTGGTCGTGCATGCATCCAGGAGTCTGCTTTCTGATTCCTGTTGGTAGAGCCCCCAGTTTGCTTTCTTGTAGTTCCAACTGCGTCTTGTCGGGTTGGTCGGTTCTCGTTTCCTGTTGCTGGAAATCTGCAGTAGGGTTGGGCGGTGGTCCCTTCCTATGTCATCTAGGACAGTCATGGAGCAGTGTGGGTGAAGGTCAGCGGGGACCAAGGTCAAGTCTGGTCTGCTGAGAGTTCTGCTGGCTCTATGAAGTAGGGTGGGAGGTGTCTTGTCGTTCTGAAGTGAAATGAGGTTGCTTGATCTCAGTAGTTCTTTTAGAACTGTTCCTGTCGAGTCTGTATCACTATAACCCCACAGTGGAGAGTGTCCATTGAAATCTCCCGCAAGAATGGTATGTGTATGGTCTGTATTCGGGAAGTTGAGCTGGAGAGTAGTTCTCGGTAGGCAGTATACATTGTAGATGGTATAAGTTGTTCCATCCGACTGCTGCACTGTCACTTCCTGCATGTTAGTCTCGTCATCGGTTTCTGGGTGAGAAACCTCATCGGTGATGTCATTCCGGGTGAGGGTTGCGATACTTTGACATTTGGTGCACTTGCAGAGGTACATTGTGTAGCCTGTCAAATGGAGCTCTATCCGCTTGGGTAGTTGGGTTTCCTGTAGCAGGGCTTCATGAATTCTTAAGTCTGACAGTATCTTTGCAAGCTCAATTTTCTTTTTCTGGATAAATGAGATGTTCAGTTGGAGTATATTCAATGAATGTGTGTCTGTAGGTTGGGGGGTCTGTGGTGTCTGTGTGTTGCTTGTGGCCCCTTTACCTGCAGTGTGGGTCCCAGCAGCTGACTTGTCACTCCCGCCCCCAGGTGAAGGCAGAGAGCACGGACCTTGATAACCGAAGTGACATCCGAGCTCGTATAGTTTCATTTGTCGTAGAGGCATTATATTGGTTTGGGGGTTGTGAAGGCTTGTATGCATCCCTGTAGAATCTCAGGTAGGTGGTAGTCTTGTCCTGACACTGGCTTGTGCCCAAACATCTTGCCACAAGAGAACAAAGGTGCAATGTTCGCTGTCCTGGTTTCCATCAACCTTCAAGGGGATTTCTTAGACAATAGACAACCATAGGGAGTGTAGGCACACTCTAGTTCTGGGAGATGGGAGCCACAAAGTGCGACCAATGACAGGTGATCATCTGAGCAGTCCAGTAAGGGGTCCCATTGAGTAAGGGGTAACGCTTTCCTTCCACAGTGAGTCGTCCACATCACCAAGCGTAGCTTGCGTTTGCCCAATCCCCGCCACCTGCTGTCTCCTGGCTCTCTGCTAGTAACATTTCCGTTCATGGGGCAGAATAATTAGAGGGGTGGCCAAATCTACTCAGACAGAGGATCGTCACGTCATGGGTCAGCGAGCATTTGCCAGGATATCTGTAGGGACGTCATCTGTTTCCAGGCAGCCTATTCCTTACAGCTACAAGGCCTACTGCTGTGGGTACCATGCCCCGTCTGTAGAGCTCCCACGAGAGGGAGGGAAGAATATGTCGACAGTGAGTTCCTGAATGAACAGGTCGGCCTGCTGTGACGCCAGACTAACCATAATGGTGGATGTGTAAGGACCCATATACGAGCCGAAGGGTCGTTACTGATATCGCACCTCACAGGGATATGGTACCTCCTGACCGGAGCTCCGTCTGCAACCCCTGTCCCTGTGCACAGAGCCGGGTCCCCAGGCTGCTCGACAAGGACGGGGAGTTGACTTGGTTGAGGTTGGCTTTCCAGAGAGCGTCTGGGGTTTCACCCTCAACCCTCACAGCCCATATATATATATATATATATATATATATATATATATATATATATATATATATATATATATATATATATAGTAGTAGTAGTAGTATTGCCTTTTGCATACCACGTACTAAAGAAAGTTATTTTATTTTTAATTTATTACCATTATCACAATACTTGTCTGACAGGCCTTTTATTTTGATAGATAAAGACGCGATGCTTTTCTTGGCAAAACAAGGTTGTTGTTTTTTTTAACTGCCAACCGTAATTTTATTTTCAGTCTCAGTACATGTTCATCTTTGATGCACTGATGGAAGTGATACAGAAAAAGATAACTGAGGAACAGGAGAAGCTCAATGACTATATTGATGAGAGTGAAGAGGACATGAACGTGACCCCTCCCCTGGAGGAAGCTCCAGATGATTTAACCATGTAGGTCTTCTTGGATATATTCGTTACGCTCATAGGAGAAATGCCTACGTCATTTCTAGCCATTGTGAAAAAATGAGAAGAAAGCTTTTTTTTTTTCGAACAATTGACTCTGTGAAACGCTTAAATTTCGATCCCCTCAATTGTTTTTATATTTTGGATTATTCTTTTGTCCAAGTGAACTATTTAACCAAGCTGACTTTGCTCTTTATTTTAGAACCTAAAACTCCAAAATGAGCTCGTCAATCATCTTTTGAGCGTAACAACACCTCCCAGTTTGCCCATAAGAACACAACTTTTGCTGAATGAACAGGTTTTATGGATGCTCTGTGAGCACTCTCGTCTTCTCATCTCTTTGCACTTCTTTTCACTTTGTTTTATCTCCTGGTCGAACATTACAGCAACTGCAGCAAACCTGCACGTATCACTACATGGCATAGGACAGAAGGGCGAGAGCCCAGCTGTTGCTGGATCAATAACAACATCAACAACAACAACAACAACAACAATCCTTGAATCTTTATCCTCTTCTTTTATTTCGTCATGGGTTTTCAGCACAGTCAAGTGGGGCGCTCTGTTACCTCAGTTGGTATAATGTTGGGCTATAGAAATCTGGCTCAGCGCTCTTGGACTTGATCATTTTGCGGAGATTTTCAGGCTCTCAACTCATTTGGCTCAGTCCTATCGGAGACGGACGTTTGACTTGGAGGTCAGGGCTCTTAAATACCCCGCCTCCCCCCTACACACACATACACATACACACAGACATACGCACAGACATACACACACTCACATATACACACATACATACATACACACATACTCACATATACATACATACACACGCACACATACACGCACACGTACACATATATACATACACACATACATACATACATACATACATACATACATACATACATACATACATACATACA